GTTGGTATTGATTACTGACGCTGGCTGATCAGGATCATTATCTGCTAACTAAAGTCAGTTTCTAACAGCAGTAGGCTGTGTGCCCTTTTGATGTGCTTGTTATTAATACTGTTATAAATGACTCCTGATGAAACGTAGTTTGGAGAGCAGACAGACTCATTGGGAAGATCTTGTAGAGAGGTAAAAAAAAACAATGCCAGGCACGTGCAGTAACAAAACAGCACGACTGCCTCAGAAACGTCTCTTTGATTAAAGTTAAAGGTCCAGTGTATAACATAGAGGAGAATCTATTGTAATATAATATTCATAGGTTTGTTTTCATTGGTGTCTTGCAGCACGATGCTGCTCAGCAATTTGCATTGACGTCCTTTTTTCACAGATTGCCAACCTTCCAGTCGGTTTGACTGTAATGTCCAAGGTACTTATGGTCCTGAATCAGGGCTAGACACTTGACTCGGTGCTCATCAAATCAATGCTTACTAGGTCTGTTTACACAAGTGCGTGTTGGTTAACTAGTGTTGGCCCTCTTGAATATTAATTGATATCAAGTTTGGTAATATTATGTTTGAACAAGGCTTCTTATTTGTACATTTAACTTCTTAAAGTGCAAAACATCCAATGTGGTCACTTCTTGCCTGTGTTTGGTTAAAAGGAGTGAATTTGTCAGTTGGTAGATTTGTGTTTGTCTATATAAGAGCCTCAGAAAGGCGTCACTGGGATGTGGGATCTAATGCATGTCAGATCATTCCAATGTTAGTTCATATCAGTGAAAGCATACGTTTATAAATTCACTGTTTTATACCTGGAGAGAGTGCTATCTAGGCAGCACACACCACCTGATTTCATTTTGAAACATTTCAGAAGCAACTGCAACGTAAAAGATTAGACATGATTCAGATATTTTTGGCAGAATAAAGTGACGATAGAAGGACAAAGAGGACACCAAACAAGGCTCTCACCACTGACTGTGTCGGCCTGGAGGATGCCGAGGTGATGGGTGTGATTGTTATGCTGCTTGTCATTTTGCTCGGAGTTGTCTTCCCCACTGAAGATTGGCGTGGGGAGCGGAGCACCGTTCCTGTTTGCATTTCCTTGCTGCTTTCTGAGCTCAGACCAAGGGTCACCACTGAACTACCACAGCCCTCGGAGGGCCTCTTGAACTGTGGACCCAAGTGGATGTGGATCTTGTTGTCCTCTGTTGTGATTATGTTGCTTTTGCCGTTAAATTTCCTGTAAGGAGCTGGCACAGGTTGCTTCTCTGGGGTCACCTTGATCACTGTGCGGCCCGTGGTGACGTTGTGAGGTTCAGGTGACGCACATGCTTCAGCCACAGGAGTGGTACTGACTGTGATGATGGACACTGGCGACTGAAGGTTGTTGGAGCCGTTGGCCTTGTCTGGACTCTTGGCTCTGGAGATGGTGGTTATCGTGACCGGAGATTTGGCGCGATCAAGACCTCCCATCGGTTCATGGGTATTGCTCTTTGAGGTCACTGTTGTGGGCTTGGGCAAGATTGTGATGCGAGGTTTCTGAAGGCCGAGAGTCGGGATGATGGTGGTGCTGGAGAAGAAATCCTCAGCTCGAGGGCTGGTGATCTCCAAGGTGGCAGTGCTGTTCTCGTGATCTGGGGTCACTCGGATGCGCAGTGGCTGTCCTGGCTTTTGGGACATGGTCATGTCAGGCGGATGGAGCAAGGACGCCCCGTTGGTCTTCTCGGGAGTGGTCTGAGTAAGAGTGATGGCCTCCTTCTTTTTCATCCAGGGTATCCAGGATTTTCCTGCCCCGAGTTCTGCTGATGCCGGAGGGTATCGTTCAAGAACTGTTGGCTTTTTAAGACCCCGTTGTCTGAGGTTGCTCATTAAGTGGTTTTCCTCAAGAACTGATTTCCGGATGAACCCGGCCGCAGTCTCATCCTCAGCAGGCTCACTGGCCATCACATCTGTCTGCACTGCAGTGGAGGTAACCGCGACATTGGCCATCCTCCTACCGTTCATACTCGGCCTCAAGGCACGACTGTAGCGCTTGGTGGCTTCCAGCTCCTTGGTGAGGTTGGAGACTTCATGGCTCATGCTCTTCTTCTTCTCCTCCTCTTCCATTAACCTCTGCTGGAGGACAGAATAATCCACCTGCAGCTGGGAGAGTTGGTCCTCCTTGTTCATCAGTTCATGGATTTTCTCTTTCAGGGCCTGGACGTCCACCTGCAGCTCTCTGGTTTTAGCCTCCTCCATCTTGCAGCGGACTCTGAGCTCCGCCTCTGGACTCATGACCTCGCCTTTCTCTATCGCTTTGTTTCTTGCGATCTGGCTTTTCATTTCCTCCAGCAGCTTGGAAAGGGCATTCGCTTTGTCCTGCTCCGTTCTGTATTTTTTCTCCAGTAGATCATACTCATCCTCTGTTTTCATCAAATCTCCTTCTACCACCTCAAGTTGTTTGAGTCTGCTTTTAAGTCTTTCAATTTCCAGCGTGAGCTCTTTTACTTTGTTGTCATCGTCTGGATTTCTGTGATTGTCCCTGTTGGCCCACCTTCTGTGCATTTCCTTCTCTGACTCATCAAGTCTGTCCATTCTTATTTTCATACCACTTATCTTGGTATTCAGCTCCCTACAATTTTCCTCTTCACTTGCAAGTTTAGTTTTTAACTCATCTTTCTCTTTGACGAGAGTCGTCACTTTGACCTCCATTTCGGATTTGTATTTGAGAAGTTTTTTGCTCTCCTCAATCAGCTTCTCTGTGACTTCCGTAACCTTGCCCTGCTCTGCTTTGAACATGTTACTTAAGTCATCACTTTTCTGTTCCTCCTGTTTAAGTCTCTCCGCCATATTTTTCCTCTCATCTACCAGTATAACCGTAAAGGACTTCAACTTCATAAGATCATCTTTGAGGACCATTTCTGCCTTTTCAAACTTTGACTCTGAGCTCTCTAGTTCTTTCAACCGGGTTTTCACTGTCTCCAGCTCACCAGCCAGATCTTTCACGACACGTTTCTCTTTTTCGAGGTTTGTATGAAGCTGAGAACACTCGGTTTTGCTCCTATTAAAAGCACCCTCCAGTTTTTCCAGCTCAACCATTCTCTTCTGCAGTTTGTCCACCTCCAACCGCAGCTCCTTGCTGTGGTTCTCCTCATTCTGGAGCTTTTTCCTCAGCTCCCGGCACTGAGTCTCTGTTTTGATGATCTCCTCATCCTTGCCCTCCATTTCCAGCACTCTCTTCCGCAGATTCTCCAGCTCAGTCATGAGAGACGAATTCCCGCACTCCCCTTTGCTGATCTTCTCTCTCAGCTCCTGCAGGTCCTCCTCTGATTTATGCAGCATCTTGTTGCTCTCCTCCAGCTCTTCAATCTTGTGCGCCAATCCAGCCAGCTTCAGTCTAAGCTGGCGGCTTTGGGACTCCTCGTTGGCCAGTTTGGTGGTCATCTCCTCGTGTTCCTGTGCAAACTTGGCTGCTCTATGCTCCAGCTCAGCCTCTAGCTTGAGGACTTTCTGGTCGTCCTCCTTAACGGTGTCAGTGACCGCCGCCAAGCGTTGCTCTTTCTCCTGCAGCTTCTGAGTCAGGTCCTGGACCTTCTGGCTCTGTTGGTCGATCTGCTCGATGTGCAGCTGCCGCTCGTCTACCAACATCAGGGCAAAGGACTTGAGCCTAACCAGCTCCGCTCTGACCTTCTCCAGCCTCCTGCTGTGGTCCTTGTCCTTACGAGCCTGGTAGGCCTTTTCCTGCTCCAACAACCTTTTGAGTCTAAAAAACAAACAGAAGAAAATACGAATGAGTGGGTGTTAACTTTGTTTCAATGCAGATGACACCAATCCTGAATTGATTTTACACCAACATGTTGTTTTGTTTTTATGCCCCTAAACCAACGGTTCTTAATGGTTTTAATTGTGTTTTCTTCTTAATGTTCTATTAATTCTGTTATTTTAATTTGTTAAGTTGCTGCTAAATAATAATGAAAATTAAAAAAAAATTGTTTTCTTCACAGGAAGGAATGAAATGCTGAGATGTAGGCCTACTGTATATATATTTGAAAATAGTTAATCCTCAGAGCTCTAGCACCCCCTAGTGGCGATTGGGAACCACTGCCCTTGGTATGTTTTTTATTGACTTTTATTTATTGATATTTAACATTTTATTGTTTCTTGCAGAGTGTAAAACAACAGCAGCACAGAACAATGGTAGACATATCGAGTGAGATATTACAACAACAAGACATTACCCAACAAATACCCCAAACAAAAGAACAAATCAAAGACTTTTACTATTGAAAGTACAGAAAACAATGCTAATAACATTATTAAATGAAGGAAAAGAAACTTTATTAAGAAGAGGAAATGACAGGAACATAAGACTAGGTAGATAAATAGTAAAAGATATAATAAAACATAAATAAAATAAAATGATGTATGTGTATGAATGTATGACATTTTATTGTTGCAAAATGTTATTTATTAATGTTTTAATATGTTTAATGTGTGTTGTGAAGCTCTTTGTGCCGCATGTTTGTATGAAAGGTGCTACGTAAATAAAGTTCTGACTACTCTACCTGGATAATCTTCAGAGACGAGATGATTTTTACGCTTTCACAGACTTAAACTTGCATCAACAAACCAAACCACTGCGATAAAGAGTCACTGCAGAGCTGCCAACAGTCCTGAGAGTTCAACCTGCCAGAGTTAATGTCCTGTTGGTTGGTAGATGTTTAACTAATCTCAGCGGGAGTCACATCACACCCTGCAAATGCATAAACAGGTCTCCTCAAATCCAGACCATCACATCTTTTCTCCTCCTGCGTGAAAAACTTCTCCCCTCGAAGTTCTGTTTCAACTCACCAACCAGTCGGGTTGCCGGGCAGGTTGATCCATATCTGAGAGTGTTTTTAAAGCTGAGCGGGAGCCAAACTGCTGCTGAGTCTCTCATGGGGTCAGAGAGGGAAGAAAGGAAGGAGGGGCCCGCAGACTCCGCCGGGAATCAGCCATCACATTCCAAACATGTCAACAGTGCACAATGAGAAAGGTGAACATTGTGCCGAACGCCACCGCTCCACTGGCTGCTGATGTCATCCTCCCGTCCATATATGGTCAAAGAGGCCCTGCCCTTGTTTGGACACCAAGGAGGAAGGCTTCCAGCGAGCTCCTCATCCTCTTTCTCCCTGTTTTGCTCTCTCTCTCTCTCTCTCTCTCTCTCTCTCTCTGGGGAGGAGGGATGACTTTGCAGCAGGTATGACATAACACACAAAGCCTCTTTTAAGCTCTTTTTACCCTAAAATGTTGCTCCAGTTCGACCCGACCTGTCCATCTTGCAGCCAGCAGTGTCTCCATAGAAACGTGGCAACGATGCAAGGCAAGAGTTTTTGTTTTGGAGAGGACAATGCCAGACTTACACAGCCTTTCTCATTATAATCCCCCCCGGTGTCGTGCAAAGGGAGAAGACATGGATATAAATTCTCCATAGTGGCTGGATTGTATGTGTGTGAGATCATAGCTTCAGACAGCAGAGGAGGCCTGTGGTTTGCATTGCAGAGCCTCCCTAAATGAGCCAAATATGAGTGCTGCAAAGAGCTTACAGCTGCAGAGGCTTTCTATCGCTGCTCTTCATTACTCCAAATACATGTTGTACATAAATATCACCCGGATGCTTGAGCACTACATTAACTGCCGTAGTTTTGTGGCTTGGATACTCACACTTTTGTTGGCTGGGGGAAGATCTTCTGTTGCACACATGTCTCAGCTCTTACTGGATAAAAGCCTCTAAGACATCTTTCATTAACCTCCAGTGACAACCAGGGTTGTGGTTTTGAAAAAATCAGCAATAAAACAAATGATAACAACTTGATGCCTTTTGTTGGAGAAGTTAAAAGGTGTCCACTGGAAAAAAAATAGGGTTGAGTGAGTACTGAAACGAGTATCCGGTGCAGATAATGTGTCACAGTACAAGGTGTCCATACGTTTGTTCTAAAAACTTGTTCTGTAAATAGTTTTCTAATAAAATTCTGATCAATTCATATCAGTTACAGACTTAAATTAACAACTTCTGATAAGTCCTGCCCACTTATGGTCTAAGCCCCGCCCCTGAGCACCTCAACTCGCTGTACGTCACTGCAAAAAACTGACATGCCGACAGCAATAAACTCGGACTTAAGGCTTTACAACGGGACTCTACAACGGGACTCTACAACGTTACGATAGGTTCACACTTTCTACAACAATCCACCAATTCGGGACCATGATCACGGCCCAACACTTTTGACAATCAATCATCTATCACTGACCGACTGACATTGTTATCCACTGCTCAGAGAAAGTCTGTGATGTCTTTTACAGCATCAGAAGCATCTCCTCTCCCTACAGTGATCTTCAGGTAGACGTCCTGCTGGATGAACTGTCTGTGATTAAAACTAATTAACACCAATTTAATATAAAAATCCTGCAGTTTAGCCACGACAATCTTCCCTTATCCCTCCGACACACAGCTCTCTGCCTCGAGGACAGATCATTATAACCTCGTACGATGGCTCTGCAGAAAGCCTCTCTCTGTTCGGATCTATTCATAGCCTCAGTGCTGACAGAAGCCTGCCAGAGGCCCCAAACGCTCATAAAACTGAGCCCACAGCAAACACATCAGACCCGGAGATGCTGATCTGCAGCTAATTATAGTGGCAAAATTAGCATCCTTATTAACATTCTGAACAGACGAGTCAATGAGAACGTTCCGATACCGAGGAGGCACATCGGTTGTTGACTGTTCGGAGGATAAAAATGGGATTTTTTTTTTTCAGGCTGCATTTGAACATGAATCAGAATTATCCACCGCTGTGAAATTATAGAGAATCAAACCTACATTTTTCTGAAGACAGACATGGTTTACTGGTTAAAGTCCTCGAACCACACAAACCCTGTCAGACCGGGACCAGGGGGCCTCCGGGTGGCCGAGCACTTAAAGTCACCATCCTGTAAGACAGAGCTGTGTCCTGTTGCAACCCTGTCTCCTAAAGTCTGAATACTACTTTTTATTGCCACTTGAATTCTGTTCATCAGTATAACGTGTAAATGTTCAAACTGAACGTTTCCTACAGTCAGTGAGTTAACTTTGAATTAAAGGACCACACCAGTGTCTCCTTAAAACAGCAACAATCAGTATTTTTATGTGTTTTTATGACATGAGCACTTATATGTGAAAGGTGTAAGATAAAGTGAGAACACTAAAAAAAGGATCAGACAGCAGACAGATGCCGTCAGAGACTCGCTGGTGAAGAAGATAAATTTTCACATGAATAACGACTGCTCGGTCATTGGCCCTCGACTTCAAAGTCTGACGCTGTAACATCACTTCTGGACTCCCCAATAAAGTTAGCAACAATAAATATGTAACGTCTGCAACTTCTGGTCAAAATAGCAGTAATACATACGTCCCGTTAAGCTTTCAAAATAAAGCTTGTATGTTTGTGTGTCAACTAAAGACACTTAAACTTACTTTACTTTCACTTTGTAGAAAACGATTGACTCTAAACATCTTTCTGCCGCATGTATCATTGTCTGTTAAAATGTTCTGTAGTGAAACAGAAATCTTTACAAGTATAACTCACTAACGGTACTTTACGCAGCAGGTTTCTGTTGTATTTACGGTTGTTTAATCGTCCAGCAGACGTCTCTGTAGGGAATGATGTCACCGTCTCTGTGCTCACTCATGATATCACCTGCAGTGAATCTGCTGGCTGCAGCCAACAGGAATGTTATCAGATGGAGAGAGAGAGCCGAGGGGCGACCACAATACAGACAGCAGGATCTGAATGTGGAGGTTTACGGAGCATCAGGAGCAGATGTGTCGTCTTCCTCATCTGGTTGGTTTGTTTCAACCTGCACATCAGTTCCGTTTAGGAAAGGAAAACGAATGAAATTGTATTTAAATGTAACATAACCTTTGTTTCAACAAATAAATTTTTCTCAAAGACCTCCATCAGAATAGTGAGAAAGATGCTGTGATCATATAAAGTCCACACAGCTCAGAGTATAAAGCTATCAGTGATGATTCTATCAGAACCATCATCCAGAACCTCGATGGATCTTATCTGACGTCTGCTGCCACACAAAAATAAACATCCTCTAATGTTGTTTGATGGTCGATGAATTTTCAGTCGAGCATGAGGGTCGAGCATTGTGCTCGTCTTCCAGCTCTGTGTGTGATCTCAGCAGCTTCGTCCTGACTTGTTTCCAGCAGGAAGTCGAGTCTGACGCACTTAAAGTCGCTCAGATCGACATCAGGATTCCTCCTCCGCTGTACATACATCATACAGGTACGGAGGTCCGTTCATCACGTTCACTCTCTCGGTGCAGAGGTCAGAAACTGGAAGCTGTAAACATTATTATTTTATAAAATCTATGTTTTTTTAGCTCTAGTTTTGTCTCTACCAAGCAAAGGGTTCACACACTTGTGTCACTCTCCCCCTCTCTCTCTCTCTCACCCACCTCTCTCTCTCCTGCTCCAGCAGGTTGGTGAACTCGTCGCTCTTGTTCATGAAGTCGGTGTGTTTGTGTTTCTCGTTGTCGAGCTCCATGACGGTGCGTCGGTGACATTTCTCCGCCAGCAGCAGCTGCTCCAGCATCCGTCTGTACGTCTCCTTCTGTTTGTCCTCCAGCCGGTCCAACTGATGGGGAAACACGTCAACACTCATTGTCAGCGTCAGCCCGCCTGCAGCCGGCCTTTAGCTACGGTGGTGATGTGCAACAAAGAGTCTGTCTGCAACCATTACGAGCTTCATTCAGACGAGTTCACAGAGTTCCCACAGTCTTATAGCAAACGCTATTGCTGTAAACGCACCCCCGAAATAAAAGTTTAAATATTTCTACTCCATCCATCATCTGTGACAATGACCTCTGTAACCTCTTTTATATTATATTACATTATGTTATATTACATTATATTATGTTATATTAGACCACTGCTGCTCTGTAATTTCCTAATCACATTCTTGAAAGTTCCCTGGGAATAAATATCTATATTTATAGATAATATTCTGTCTTTATGAAGCAGTGAAACCATCGACCCCCCCACTGTCAGTGTATTCAGTATGTCTGTGTCTAACCTCGGCCATTGGTTTCTCGTACACGTCCTCGGTGCTGTTGCTGCTGCGGGTGAGCAGAGCGTCTCTCTGCAGGGCCTGCAGGGGTCTGCTGGGCACAGCTGAGCCATAGTGAGCCTCCAGAGTCTCTGGTCTGGTTCTGTCCGACTTCAGCAGGCCTATGATGTCCTCTCTGGCCTGAGGAGACACAGCGGAGGGTTTAATGAGTGATCGGGATAAATAAGTTAAATATCCAAACACTGTTGGTGGAACTGAAACCACCTGAATTATATTATTAATCATTTATTGTCATTTATGTATCATTAGAATTCAGTTTCTGTCTACAAAAGAAGAGAAATGATGATATTGATGGCCGTTTGCCTGTTGGTGTGATGATGTTTGTTCTGTAATTTTACATGGATTAGTTTGGAACAAACAGAAAACGTTGAATAAAAGCTTTTGTTCTATCAGGTGTTACAGGGCATGGTAAACTGTCCAAATTACAGTTTCTTATCAGTGCTAAACTGTATAAATTACTGCTAATATTCACAGATTTAATGGACTTTTCATTACAGTTTATAAATCTTTTAACATCACATTAAAATTAAAACAATCCAATAATAACAGCACCCTCGTCTGCTGCTATAATGTAAGTCGTCAAGATGTGATTGATTAATAGCAGAGTTCACCTGGATTGTTATTAGATCCATTGCATTGGTTTTACACTATAAATATCTTTAATTAAACATTAAAAAGACAAGATTTTATGTCAAATTAAAGCTAAAAACTGTATTTTAATAACAGAAAATTACTGTATTTTTACAAGTCAGTTATTATCTGTTATTTTACAGTATTGTTTGGCGCTCCAGCTCTCTATGTGTTTTTACAGTGAACTCAAACACCCAGCAGAAAGCTCACCAGGTGCCCTCCGAGTTCACAAACCCACATTTCTGACTCAATCTTTCGTCTCATGACCAGAATCAAATGTGAAACATCATCAAACTCCAGTGACTCCAACTCTCATATCTTATAATCCGTATAAAACAGGATTCACACTCACGCCTCCTGAATGTGGACTGAAACAGACACAACCAGGTCAGAGAGAATTTAAATTCTCAGACGTCAGCTGACATCATCTGAACGTGGATTACCTCATCTCCAATATCACATGACTGAGTGCAGCTTCCCAGCAGCAGAGGGAGCTGTTTCCTGTTTCACTGTACACGTTCTGCACAGTGACACAGATTCACTCTCTGTTCCTCACTGAACTTTATATTCATTCTTCAGATTGTTCTTCAGTGTCCTTGCACACAAACCTTCAGTCCAACGATCAAACATTCAATAATAATGGCTGCATATTGATTTATGCTCATTTTAATCAGTTTAATGTTGTATAAACAAATATAAACAAAGCTTTTACAACTACAATGCAGCTGCACCTTTTAAATGCAGTATTATATATATGGAAATATCTGATGTGTTTTTATTTGTAATGTTTTTATTTACCTGGTTTTATCTAACTGCCTATTAATTGGCCCACAGTCTCCTGTCATTTTATAAAAGATAAAAGTGGCTATAATTTCATTCATGAACCCATTTACGGGCTCTAACATACTTTCACCTCTCACCAATCCTCGATACCTGACCTTTAATAACTTCCTTCTTCTCCAGAGTTTTCTCCTCTCGCAGGTTCCCAGAGATCACGATTGTACAAATATCTTATTATCATTATTATCAGAGCCCAGCCAATGTATCGTTGTATATATCCAACATACATTGATATGAAAACTGTTTTTTTTACAGGATAAAATGCAGAAGAAATGTTTGTATTAATATTTTGGTGTCACTGTAAAGTTTATCCAGCAGGGGGCGCTATGGTTTACGATACTGTGAGTTCAGAGAGAGGGAAGAAAAAAGCTCCTAGTCAATAGTTATTTATTTATCTTCCAAAACTTAAAGATTCAAGTTTTTCTACAGAAGAAAAGTAAATTATCATTAATTTAACTGTGCTGTGATGTCTTTTCTGTTAAATATTGTGTTTATAGATTTATATATTTTCCATAAAAACACATGATGATAAAAATTATTGTGAGTCTGTTTTCAACATTTGGATGCAGCTCTTCCTGTGTGAAATGTGAGTATTTTTTTTGTCTCATCGCTAATGGAAAATATTTAACACGCCCGAGCAGATGGAAACGGAGGGTGAGGCCTCTCTGGAGACGCCTTTATAAATGTGCCTCCATTAGAGAACCATTAACAGACTGCAGCCCGGCAGCACCGAGCACAAACTCTCTGGATTCATGGTTTTAAAGAGGATCAAGATTAACTGGGTGTTTCTGAACAAGACAGTAACTAGTCCTGCTTTGTCTTCGGTTGGCATGGCAACCACGCTGTCAAATCCTTCGTTATCTCAATCAATAACAAGAACTGTGACAGAGCAGCAGTGAGCATTAGTTATTGATCAGGACTCAACGTCTACTCTATCAGTTTCTGATGTGATGATGATGTTTCTGATGAGTTGTTTTCAAAGAATCACACATTTGGAACATAAATCTGATCGTAGCTCGCTCACACAGATACACACATACACTAATACGCAGATACTTACAGATACAGAAACATGATATCGGTGGTAACAGCTTCTTGCTCACAACTGAAACTCTGCTTAAGAGGAAGAACTGGCGTCAAGTAACAACCTGCAAACGCCCCCACTGGTCCATCTTGAACTCAGTCACTCACAGATAATTCTCTCCCAGACTGGGAAAAAGGTTTCGTTGTTACCATCGATATCAACTCCTGGACGCAGTTTACCTTACCCAACATATATCACACACAATAGGACTCACAGAGAACGACACACACACTGCTCATTAAACACTACTGATGATTAGCTTCCTGCTATGTGGCTCTGCCCACCCATTCAAACACTCTGGACAAACATCACACACACTATCCACAGCACTCCAGTCTCTCCATCTGTATGTCTGTTAGATCCTTCCACAGCTGAACTGCCACTGAAATATGAACGACCCACTCTGTCGCCTTAACAATCGCTAAAAAGACAAAACTCTTAAACTGGAAGAGAAATAAACTTTGAACACATCAGCGGCACATCCTACTAGCCGACAGAGGCGTTTGGGGCCAAGTACAAGAACTTTAACAGTTTTTTAGTTTAACATCAAAAAATTGCAGCTCATCCAAGTTTTTATGACCTTAAGACATGTTTGTACTTTAACTGATTAATTAAGTTATACATTATCATGTGAGTGAAGTATGTAAGTTAAAAGAAGTCAATGTTGACTTTTAGTTTCACTTTTGGGTCCATCCACCCCAACCTCCTCTCTATGTGGAGTTTGCTGCTCTTTCTGATACGTAGTCGTTAGCTGACTTTCTACTTTGCTCCCGTCATAACTCCTACAGCCACTAGAGGTCGCCGCCTAATGATAAATGTAAATATTGGTTGTAAAAGCTGTTTTTCAGCTGAAGACGAGCTGAATCTGATGGTTTTACCTCTCGGTGGAGCTGCTAACAGCTCATAGACCGCTCTTCATAAACATCAACAACTACATGTCATCTGAAATTGATGCGTACCTGAATTTCTCCTTCCATGACTCCCAGCAGTTGAAGCATGTCTTTCTTCGACAGATCCGGCAGACCTGCCTTCCTGCTTCCTGCTGAAGGTTTCTGAGGTTTCTTTGTGGTTCCAGACACCGCCGTCCTCCCGTCCTTCTCCTCTCGCTGCACTTTCATCTTCCTCTTGGAGAGCTCCGGCGTGTTCTCGTCTTCCTGCTTTATGAAAGCTTTAGTGGGCTGGATGTGTCCGTCATCTGGACCCTCCACGGTGCAGTTCCTGGATCGCATCTTTTACCTGGGAGGAGGAATACAATGGATGCCAATAAATTAAACAACAATCCTAGGAAACCAGATGTTTCTAAGGACAGATGTTTAACCGAATTCTTCATCATCCTTCCCACAACTTTCATATCTGCTTATTGTTTCTCTTCTTCGTACGATTTTCCAACAACGTGGCCCGTTAATATAAAACCTTTTGGCAGATCAGGCTCAAATTTTAACTGGATGCACCACAAAAGCACATTTGTGAGTGATGAAAGCTCAACTTTGACAAGAAAATAAAGGCGATGAAATGTTCCCCATGATGGATTACCTATCTTACCTATGAAAGTTTCAGCTCCTGCAAGATGCTTTTCATCATGTACTGAAATGACCTCGTACCGAGAGCTGGAAGGTAAATCTAAAAGAATAACAGTCTGATTCCGAGAAGGAATCTAATTCTACAGTAAAAGAATAAGTAATGCAGCTTCTCATATATGGTGGAAATGGGGTTTTCTTCATCCTAAACATAAACAACGACAACCAGATCGCCAAAATCAGGATATAGAAATAAATATTCATGGGGTGTCCAGAAGGTGAGAGAAATATATGTTGATTTAATCTGAAACAATGCCAAATATCAATAATTTATTGGAAAAAACCCAAAATGAAGATATTTGAACTCAAAAACATTGATAGAAATATCTAAAGTTGCATTAGAAATCAATAAATTTCCAAGGCTTCAGGCATTTTTCCAAATACAGTTTTCATTAAACTTAAACCCATTAATGAGTCTAAAATGTGGCCAGAACAGATCATTAAATTAATTTCCATTTTTAACACAACCCAAATAACAATAATATATAATTAAATATTAAAAATTTGTATTAGATTTTTTCAAATCAAACACTGATATCACACATGGAGAAATGACTTCTGACTTCTCAGTTTATTTATTCCCTCAGTAAACAGTTTTTCTGGTCTCAGTCTCTAGTTCAGTCATCTTCCCATACAGCATGATGTTCATTTAAGGAACTGATCGGTCCCATTTAGAGTCCAAACAGAACATAAGCAGGGGTATGCTTCTAGGGGCCTAACTTTGATTGACAGCTTCATTCTCATTGAGTCCGTCCAGCTAACAAACAAACGATGACGAAATCGACAGCTGGTCGGGCTGATATTGGGTCGGGGGTCAGGATGGGGGTTCTGACAAAGGAGCAGGTTATAGGCTATTGGATCTGAATGAGGCCAAAGTTCCCTAAGGCTGCGGGTCTGGATGAAAGAGGGCCGTGACTCAGCCAGAGAGAATCCTGGCAGGGAAGCGGTAGCAACCACGTTACAGCTGCCTGTTATTAATAGTTATTTCAGGGAGGACGCCAAAATCTCCCACGTGTCAAAACCACAGAACTGTCCTCTTTCTGACGGTCAGATCGGTGAACTGGAACAGTCACTGGTGGAGTCGGTGGGTAAAAACCTAAATCCAAGACGAGCCCGAGAATGCAGCTGGTTTCAGATCAGATGATGATGGTCTTGTTTGTTGATGTAGGTCATTTAGAGGAATCAGTAAACTCTTCTATAAGTCCACCACAGCGTCACAGTCAGCTAATTCTGGTTTTAAAGACAAATTAAAGAGCGGTTCAGGTCCAGTGTGTAACATTGAAGAGGATCTATTGTCAGAAATGTAATATAATAAAGGTACGTTTTCATTAGTGTATAATCAGCTGAATATAAGAATCATTGTGTCTGGACCTTTAACAGGAGATCTTTCTGTCTGGAGTTCATCAATTCTCTCATGAGATCCCCAAAGAATTGTACTTGCTCCAACTAACATTAAGACTCTTTACCTTCTGTAGTGTATTATATCTGTATATTTCTTTTATGTATTGTCCTTTACCCTGCTGTAAAACCAACTGCCCTCTGGGGACAAAAATTAAGTTCAAGTTGAAGTCTTTAGATTGGATTTCATGATTTTGTTATTCCCTCTTTTGTTGTAGCCAAACAGTCTTTTTCCTTTTACAACAATACTTGTAGGCCAAAGTTAAAGCTGATGGATGAATCATGAGATACAGATATACACTGTAGAAAGCTCCCTATAAATGATTTACTTTACTACATTTAACCAAAGTACAATGGTTTGAGCCCAATTTGAATAGGTGATCAGTATGTGAAACATAAAGTTGGTATTCAGCTTTCAGGAAGGTGGAGGAATGGGAGTATGATATGAAAACAACAAATAACTAACAATTATATCTACATAATAAGTTATTTTTGTTTAATTGGGATTCAGCTGGATGTTGCCATTCATTGTTTCAGTCCTAAGCTGAGGTTAGAGTTTAGGTTCATGGTTAATCACTATTGTAGTTTCTAAAGGACTTAAAAAATAATTGATCTTCTGTCCAAAACATTCAGTTAAAGTTTAATGTCTGTTTAATTCAAAGTTTTAGAAAAAGTGAGAGAAACGTCAATGTTTTTTGGATAAACTGAACTCATATTAACATTTTGTTGATGTTTCTGAAGTAACTTGACCTTCATCACTGAACAGTGAGTAATCAGTGAGTATGAGGTCTGTAAATAGAGACGGTCTGTTTACAGGTTGTGTAGAATATTTTCATCCTGGTTGCCAAGTATTACATCGAAGTGTTTTGCAGGTCTCAATTGAACTGAGTCTCCACATACCAGCACGATGTCGTGTCGAGTCCCAGATAAGCAAACTGATCCGTGTAAACAGTTTACCTCCACAGGAGAGGAACTCTGATTCATAGAGTCATTTCACAGGGTGACCTTATCAGCGTTACACCAGGATGGAGAAGAACAGTCAAGCACTGATGATAGATTCCACTTTGAGGGTTTGACCATCACTAAAACAGTCCGCTGTATTTCAAACACACCCAAAGGTCTGCATGACATCTTGGAAATACTTCAGAAAACCACCAGTTCCTTAAATCTGTGACTTTTTGTTATTTCAAACCTCTGCCTGCTTTTACTGTACTGCCAGAAGGATGTGGGGATGCTTCATGCAGTATACAATGATATTTTAGACCTTTTAGACCTTTCCTGTTTCAACATGACAATATCCCAATAAAAGGACTGGTCAAAAATATTACCAATACAGAGTAAAGACAAACACGTGTTACTGTTGGCTAAACTACTTCACATCAAAGAAACAATACGCCAATCGTTGCCCAACAACAATAAATCCACTTGCGTCTTCATAGAAAACTTTAGTGATTCTCCAACACCTCCAGGAGTTTCCTCGAGTACTGATGTCGGTTCCAGGGAACAGTCAGCGGTTTGGAGAAGAAAGATGTTGGAGTTGGAGAGTCTGTAGAACGAGTGAAAATTATTGAATACTCTCAGGAAGGACTGGGCCTCTTCCACTGGTGAGTGTGTCCTCCTTTTTGCAGTCCTGAACTAAACCCACCACCCACCAACACCTTTAGGTTGAACTGGAACTGTGAGATAGACCTACTCACCCAAAATCAGTGTTGGACCTTACTGACGGACTTATTATTAATTACTTGATGTCCCTGTTTGTTCTGGCACATTTACGCCGCACCGAGATAGAAGAATCTTAACTTTTTCAAGTGCACCACAGGTCATGTGACAAGAATGAACCAATCGGTTCCAAAGTACTTGCTTCACTTTTTCTGTACAAGGAAGTAACAGCATCAGGTTGAAAGGTCAGTCAAATGGATGATGGACAAACTGTGTAGTATTTTTATATATTTTGACACAAACAGAAGGAGCAATGCCTGCAGATACATCAGCTCAGATTTATGGTGCTGGAAATGTATCTGTAAAAACCGGAGATTCCAATAAAATAGGACCCAAATGCAGGACAGTTAGAGGCAGGATACAGGTAAAACCACAAATAAAAAAGGTACGATACACAGGAACAACCGGCAGTAATATCACGACATGAGGGTACGGAGATGAACACAGACGATATATACTCAACAGGTGTAGATTAATTAAGGCGGGCAAACAATTACAAAACACACCAAGACAGAAAGTGAGCCGATCAGAAACAAGAGGGAGAGGTAAATACAAAATAAAACAGGAAGTTACACGTGAAAAACTGACTACACAATAAAACAACACCAGTGTTTCTGACCGTATCTTTGTTTTGAGTTTAGTCAGTGATGCTAACTCTTAGTCATTAATCGTCCTGCAGCATGTTTAGACTGCTTTGTAGCGGCAGGTGCAACTGTGGCGCAACCTCCTGAAGCACCTTTGGTATAAAGATGGTGTTTTCCACGTGCCTTTATACGCAACATCTGAACGACCTCAGATGCACTGCAGCCAGATGCATAAATCTGTAATAAAGCCTGAAACCAGTCGAGTGGAGCTGCAGTTTAATGTGTTTTTATAACTATTTGTTAAACAATCACATATGAGTCTAATACTTCGGTGTCCAAATACTTTTGGCCACAGACATGATTATAATGTGGTTTACTATCTAAGCTTTTGATAAAAGGTTCTGTAAATATGCAGCTCTTCTATATATTTTGAGGCTTTAACAGATTTGTTTGCGTTGGGATGCAACCGCCTCATCTTCTGGAAGATGGATTCAGAAAGTGGAACTCCTATGGAACAAATGTAAATAAACCAAAAATAAAACCCACCAAATAAATTGAAGATTGTGTCTTTCGTCCTCCCGAGGGAGAGATATTTAGGGAGACGTGAGGAGGCTAAACTGTTCTCTCTGATTTACGCTTCAGCCCGGATAAAATCTCAGACAGCTGTGGCCTGTGGTCGACACACGAGAACTACAGTGGATAAGTGGTGGAGGAGGTATGTTGGCAGCCAGGGGTCCTACTGGTTGGAAAACTCATCCAGTAATGAGAAGGTCACAGGTTTGACCCCAGAAGTGTCTCCAAAGTGGGTCATGATGAATGTGCAGCACGGCTGGAGAGTCTTATTTCTCTTATTTATTTCTTACAAGAAACTCAGATTTCTAATCGATTTGAGAAAAAAAAGAGCTAGCAGAGAGCTCTGGGGATAGCAGTGTGTTCAGTCAGTTTGTCCTCTTCATTCCCACATTAGTCTGTATGACATG